ACGCATTTCAGTTCGTTGTTAAAAGCGGTCAAGGAATTGTACACCTAATTACTCAAGTTTTTAAAAATTGATTTCAGCGCTTAAGTAGACTTTCCCTTTCATTTGAAACGGTTTTTGTGCTGGTTCAGTATTAAATTTCCCTTTTTTAATGCGATTAATTAGATAGAAGGTATAACAAATTGACTAAAATGAAAGATAACTGAAGGATAGGTAAAAAAGTGCTTTTTTCAAATTAAAACTACTAGACAAGTGAAAGATAAAACATACCAGTGTGCAATAGTCGATTAAGGTAGCAGATAGATATTGAAACTGCATTGGCAACCAAAAATTATTAAAGAGGGGAAATGTTGTCCACTGTCAAGTCCAGTGTCAGTCAATAAAGGGAAGTTCTCATGAACATTCTGTGGTTCATTATACATATTAATGTCATACCTACAGGATTCTGCTACAATCAAGACTATCACACTTTTATATTTGATATGGAGACTTGTCTGGTGTCTTCGTCTTCCGAAGCCCATACATTTTTGACAGATGATAGGAGGTGTAATGTCGTCCACTGTCAATCAATTAAGGGAAGTTCTCATGAAGATTCTGTGGTTCATTATACATATTAATGTCATACAGGATTCTGCTACAATCAAGACCATCACACTTTTATATTTGATATGGAGGCTTGTCTGGTGTCTTCATCTTCAGAAACCCAAACATTTTTGACAGATGATAGGAGGAGTAATGTCGTCCACTGTCAATCAATAAAGGGAAGTTCTCATGAAGATTCTGTGGTTCATTATACATATTAATGTCATACAGGATTCTGCTACAATCGAGACCATCACACTTTTATTTTTGATATGGAGACTTGCCTGGTGTCTTCATCTTCCGAAGCTCATACATTTTTGACAGATGATAGGAGGAGTAATGTCGTCCACTTTCAAGTCCACTGTCAGTCAATAAAGGGAAGTTCTCATGAAGATTCTGTGGTTCATTATACATATTAATGTCATACAGGATACTGCTACAATCACAATCAAGACCATCACACTTTTATATTTGAAATGGAGACTTGTCTGGTGTCTTCATCTTCAGAAGCCCAAACATTTTTGACAGATGATAGGAGGAGTAATGTCGTCCACTTTCAAGTCCACTGTCAGTCAATAAAGGGAAGTTCTCATGAAGATTCTGTGGTTCATTATACATATTAATGTCATACCTACAGGATTCTGCTACAATCAAGACTATCACACTTTTATATTTGATATGGAGACTTGTCTGGTGTCTTCATCTTCAGAAGCCCAAACATTTTTGACAGATGATTGGAGGAGTGACTATAGTTTTGGAGGAGCGTTGTTGCTATTGTTATCATTAAGATGACAAATTATTAGGAAAGTATTAGTACAGGATTTGCCTTTTTTGTTTTTACTAAAGTACAGTAACAAGACAACAAGGACATGCGAGAACGTGAATTGCCTTTACGGTGGTGTTTTCCTGTCAGATGTTTGTCCCAGTCAGATGCCGAGATACATAGTAGGCATACACACATAGCCGGTTGGATTGTCGGTCTCTGGATGACCATGAACTTGAGCAGCTACAGAAATGGCTTGAGGTGGTGCTCTTTATAGATATATGTGTACATGTGTACATCAAGTTATAAAGCATTTGTGTGTGTGTGTGTGTGAGTTCGTGTATTACAATAGTGCCAACCGCAGCGCAGATAGTAACTGTCGTTTCTCTCACGAACAGACTCTCACCGTTGTAGCAGTTAGTCATTTTAGTCCGGATTCTTGACATTCTCTTTAAAATGTTTGCTTCTGGTTGTTTACATTCAGTGATAATTAATTAATATCATTCGAAAGTAAAACTTTAAAATGAAAACATTGCAAAATTAAAACGTTCTAAAACCGTCAGAACACTTTTTTGCAGTGTGGTCTATCTAGAGTTTTGAAAATTGTCGACTTCCAAATGACCGAAGGATTTAAGTTTGTGACGCCATCTCAGAAGTTCAATCCTCAAAATGACGAACTGTCGCAGTGCTGCCAACATTCCCTTTTGGTGGACATGCTAATGTTACGTGATCGTGTATTTATGTTGGTACCATTGCAATATTTGAAACCAATTCCAAGAAGGGTGTCATAAAGTTAACTTTTACCGGAGTAACAAAAAATCTTTTGAGATTGGATCCCTTTTGGAGGCTAGATTTGTACTGTAGATCGAGACTGTAAAAAATCGTAGTTTCAATTATCTTTGTGCTTTATTATCGAGTACAAAAATACTGAGTTGTATCTGGCATAAAAGTAAATGTAATGTATTTCAGTATTCTGAAGATATTTTTTAATTGTATTGTGTAATAGTTAGGTACTGTAGTAAATGTCAATGTCAATACAAATTAGAAACGTAAGTTCAGTTGACATTTAATTTTGCAAGGAGGTTCGTAAACAAAATGTTCAATGCTGCGCTTTAAAGTGGCATCGTTTTTAAAGAGATGTTGCTATTTTTGTAGTTATAGTTAGTGTATTTTCTAAATGGATGTAAATTCTTTCATCCGCCGCTTCTGAATTTACTGGAATTAGGTTTAGACATTCGGCAAGAATACTATCCTTTTCCTTATTTATAACCGCTTACGCAATGTAGTAAATATTATGCACAACATGATTAATTGTTTATTATTTATAATGAATAGTGACGTAATGAGAAGGTTGATGGTAATTGGTAACATAGGAGATATTTGACGTTTGAATTTGTTACTTTATACTTTATGAATGTACATCGATATATGTACAAGTACACAAACAAGTGTAAATAATAAATAAGATACTGTACCTCCATCGAAAAAGACCACCGTTTTCGTATTGTTTACGCCGAACAATGCAAATGTAAACCCATTTATCTAATGAACAGTATTGTTTTACTGATAAAAAGTAAAACTGCGAATTGTTTTGGTTTTGGTTAAATCAACATAGAGGGAGGGGTAGGTAATCGGAAAAGGTACTAAGCAAGTGAAAACTTACGTATAACCTTAATAATTTTTAATGTTTAAAAGTTGGTGTATTGTATAATTCATGTAGTCACAACCCGAAATATGAATCATTATTTATTGTTTTTTAAAGTCGTTCATTTATAGAAATACAAGAACTTGCGTTGCACATTATTATGTTTAGATGTTTCCAAAGGGCAATCGATGAACATAGGAGCAACAATTTCTTCTATCTGCTACACTGGGAGGTAACAATCAGAAAAAACAGCTGATGTAGAAGAGGAGACCCTTCTATGCGCTCTTGATATTTATACACTAATGTCTGGTCACCCGCTGCGCGAAGCGTCAAGGGAGACATAGTCTCGCTTACGATCGACCCAGCGACCATGAATCTGAGGGGTGTGCGTTCCGTACGCATTGTTGCCAAACCGAAAATTAAGAACGTCAAATCACCAAATGAAATCATATAGGAACGCTTTTGTTTTGTTAATAAGGTTTTGCAATGCCAACATATGTGCTTAGGATTTTATTCTCTTTTATTTTTCTCCTTCGTCAAAAATTCAATGTAATGGTGGGATGTTAGCATTTATTTCCTTTAATTTTTTAAGGGCGTCGAATATTCGTTTTCACTTTCAATATGGCAACGCAGTTGACACGTGTCTGACCATTTCTTTTGTATAATTACGCTACAACGCTTGCATGTATCGACTTATGCAACCGTCTGTTTTCCGAGGGAAGGGAAGTCATTGACCCAGTTAGTCATTAACTTTACCTTACGCCCTAGCGCCCAGCTCCATTGTTAAACAAAGTAAGGGCAACAGCCAAAAAGAATGGTACGTTGAATTACTTGTCCAAATAATAGGCAGTAGATGTTTCTGACAGTTGAAATGTCGTAAGAGATAAAAACTGATATTTGTTTACACAAGCTCTTTCTCTGTTTCGGTCATGTAAATATTTTGCGGGGAATATGATAAAAATAAAATAATTAAGCCATGCTAAAGATTGCAACCGTTTGCTGGAGCGGCACGCTCAATGAAGATTGAACAGCTGGTCAACGTAAATGACTCATTCAATTGGTTTTCGTAATGAGAATGACGTTCAGTTGGAATGTGTAGTTACGTGCCATTTGAATTAATCAACAAATAAATGTATTGCTAGTCTCTTTCCGTCAAAAATTGCTAAACATTTCCGTGAAATTTTATCGAGGAGGAGAAGTACCTCTGTCCAAGTTTTGGAATTTGTCTAGAAAGCTAAAAATGTTTTTAGGGGTGGTTGACAAGACAGAATCATTGAAGATCATATGTATCTATAATATTGAAAATTTGAAGTGATTTGAAGTAAAAGTATATTTCTGAAGAGCACAACAAATTGCTACATTACTGATTATAAATTGTTATGAGTTCTCATAAATAGTCATTCAACTTGTTTGTGTAGGTTAAGTTTTTGTGGTGAAAACACATATAAGGGAGCGTCGGTTCTAGGTTTGATGAAACAGATGGATTGTAACGGTAGCGGTAGCGAAATGCTAGATGCTAAATGCGAAGAAGGTGTGAAAATCCATACCTGAAGTTCTGAACGGTGTATCGCGCGAGAGTATGATTAGTCCTTAGACTTCGTTTACTAAGGGCTGTTAGATCGTACCTGTACTTGGATACAGCATTTGTATTTTATGCGTCCTGTTTGTATATCAAATAAATATCAAAATAAATGTTGAAGATGTTCTTGTTGAAATTTCTTCAGTTCTTAAAACGTCTTCTCCTTCCACCATTGAACCTCTTTATTCACCATTAAATATGTGCACCATTATTTTTGGAGGACTTCTTTCAGATACTCAGATACATAAAATTACCTCCATTTTATACTATATTATACACTATTTTCCATGATCTACAATATGTGACAGAGATATGCGTACCATACGTAAAGTTCATCAAAATAATATAGACGTAACTGCTTAAAAATTAATACAAAGTAGATAGAATCTATCTTTCTTTAATTATGAATACGTTAATTTGTAATTTTGTTATAGAAATAGATATAAAGGCGAGTTTCGCAGCGGCAGCACAACAGTGAGAGGCGCCGGTAGCGTAGTGGGTTCCGGCGGCGGCACAATCGGCGGCAGCGTCGGAGGCGGCGGCGGCGTTGGTGGAAGTGTAAGACTGTGCGAGGTGCGGCGCGCGTACAAAGCCGCCGTGGTGCCTTGCAAAACGGGCCGCCGCAGGGCCCGGGGAATGAGCATGGGCCAAAAGGTTTCAGGAGGAGTCAAATCCGTCAGTCGGGACGCGTCCGCCCCTTACAAACCGGTCATTCCCAGAGAACTCGCACAAGTAAGTCATCTGTCAACTACTTAGGAACTTAAGGATAAGAAATAATTTGTAGAGAGGTCCAGGTTATAACATTAAAAATTTCATTTAAATTTTACACAGAATATGTTCCTCAACAATCTTCTCATAGAATTTGAAACAATATTTCTGTATAAATTAAAGATAATCAAATTTATGAAGTAGGTGTCTTCGAGGAAGCCGTATTCTCATTATCGGAACATATCCTTTGTGATTCTGATACCGTAAAAGTATACGGGACTGTTATATACTCGCCGACAATTTCGTGTAACGTTTGTTTGATGTGTAGGAGTTTCAGCGTCCAGCCCGACTGGACATGCTACTGGATATGCCACCGGCTGTGCGAGAAACGCAACTCAAGTACAGTTGGAACTCGCAGGATCGATCACTCAACATTTTCGTCAAAGAAGACGACAAACTGACCTTCCATAGACACCCAGTTGCGCAAAGTACCGACTGTATACGTGGTAAAGCCGGCTTCACCAAAGGTCTCCATGTTTGGGAGGTATCCTGGTCGACAAGGCAACGTGGTACCCATGCGGTCGTAGGCGTAGCCACTGCAGATGCGCCTTTACATTCCGTGGGTTATCAGAGTCTCGTTGGTAGTACTGATAACTCCTGGGGATGGGACCTAGGTAAGTCTTTGGAAAATAGTATAAACAAAAAATTGTTAGTTTCGATGAATACGTTTTTATTGAAATTTGTCCTTATTGGTTTTGCAGGCCGAAACAAATTATATCACGATTCAAAGAACAACGCAGGTGGAGTAACATACCCGTCATTACTCAAACCAGACGAGACATTCATCGTGCCAGATAAATTCCTAGTTATTTTGGATATGGACGAGGGAACGCTGAGTTTCATGGTCGACGGTCAGTACCTGGGAGTAGCATTTAGGGGCTTGAAAGGCCGAAAATTGTATCCTATAGTTAGTGCCGTTTGGGGTCATTGTGAAATAACCATGAAGTACATTGGGGGCCTTGATCGTAAGTAATATCTTTATTAACTCTTGGACACGTATAAAATTTGCTTTTCTTTTTTTGTTTCAGCCGAACCATTACCTTTAACTGATTTGTGTCGACGCGTGATACGACAGTGTCTCGGTAAACAGAACATCGAGGACAAAGTGACCAGTCTGAATTTGCCTCTTCCTCTTCAGACGTATTTACTCTATAGGGATCGTAGATAATAATAATGCCCATATGAGCAAAATAAAGCAAATTGCAACCAACCCAACGTGTTCGATGAAAGACTGCAGTGCAGCAACGTTCTTCTTCGATCGACTTTGCATCATGTCGTATACAAAAACAAAAAAAAAAATAACTGACTTCCGATGGGTGTTTTTATCCCTCACCGTTTCACAAACAGTTCGTCAAGTGTTGTTATTGTCGCCAGTATAAGCAAAATTAATAAGAAAAAATATTGTCTTCTAGCATTGGCTTCCTTTGTTATGTCGTAGTGTAGTACGCACGTGTACAGTTTGTTTTAGTGACGAGTGTGCAAAACCGATAATCTTGACAATTGTTCTCAGTGACTGCGATTGACACTTGGATTTTAGGTGCATATTTGTTTTGTGTACGTCGTTGAGAATGCGCCTTAGCACCACATAAACATACACACACATTCATATATAAACACAAACATTTATATACCATTCACGTTTACACTTGACGAGCTTGTGATATAAATATCGACGAAGACACTGTGAATATTTCGTTAATTATATTTTTTTTGTATTTTACTGTTTAATTTAAGTGTATTTGCAATTGGTTTCGATAAAACGTTCGTGTTGCAAGGATCCAATAGATTCTATTTTTTTGTCAGTTTTTGGGTTCAATCAGTGGCATTTATGTTGTGTATTAGATTTTTAACCAAAGGACAAGTGTTGCCGCACAAGTTCAATTTTTTTACTTTGAAAATAAAAGGCTGTTCTTTAATGTGACGACTTTGTATGATTTCTGTGTTCGAACAAATTTGCGACTACTTGTAAACACGAGGGTAACTGATTTACTTCCAGATAGTTAATATGCTTTCTTCTCAGTTTATTACACGTAATTATTTTTAATGTCGAGTTCATAACAATGTGATATTATTTAATTTTTATATATTTTACCTTATTTAAGCTATTTGAACTGGAAAAAAAGCGAGTCTTCCAGTTTCGAAACGGATTTTGTTCAAGCACAGAAGTGATCGTACTGTGTAGAAAATGACATTTTTTTAGTTTGTGAATATTTGTCGGGTATTTTGAACCGTTGTAAATATTATAATGAAAAAGAAGACGTAGAAAACAAGAAGCCAATGCAACTGTGTGTTTTAAGTTACTTTATTAGAAAGAAGAATGTACGGTACTTTCTGTGTTAAATCTGTAATACCGACCAATTTGGCCGATTTTTCATTTTATTACAGTTGAAGCGAACCAGTTAGCAATTATTTTTGTAAATAAGTGCTAGTTTAATAATTGACAAACATTTACTCTTTAACTAAAAGAGTTGTTCTGGAGTCACATGCGTTAGGCTCTGCAACAGCAATGATGTGTGCATGTGTGTTTGTGTTTGTTAGTGATGATGAGAGTGACTGCTCTAGTGTGCGTACGTCTTCCTTTATTAATGACGACACCTTGTAGTAATTTCTCCCTTGTCTCTCTTTCCTGTTACCTTAGTGAAACTGAAAAACATTTTCGACGGATCTCATAGGGATGTAAACATTTTTTCCAATCTATTATAACAACGTGTTGGTTGAAATTAGCTTGCGCGGTATATATTGTCGATGATGCAGTGACAAGAGCCGATTTAGGGAAATTGATAATTGTTAAATACACTAAGTTTGCCTAATTAGTCGTATCTTTATACTGACAGTGCTCAAAATAAAGAACAAATAAAAGATATGAAAAGTTGAACAACGAACATTTAAATCCAATTTTATTGTTTTTCGGTGCCTCAAAAGTATCACTTGGAAAAGAAACATAATCGCAAGTTATCATGTGCACCAGTTTCTATAAGAGAGTGTTAACGTGTTACGTAGGCCAAATATTTTATTTTACTTCTCCACCCTCCCATTTTATAAGAAAAAAATAAAAAAATTATGGACTTCCCTCCTTACTCCAATGATAATGTATAAGAAGTAACTTTTGAATTCGAAGTGAAAAATTAATGATTAAATTGTTTTCAAATTCAAAAACAAATTATTCTTATAAATAACTAAATACGTAATTTCTGTAACGAAATTTAATCTCTACACACACACTCTTCATCTTAATTTCAACATCATTAACAAGAGGTAGCCAATTTTTAATTTAATTCAAATTGATTCGTAGCGTTAGAATACTTGAAATGGTAAATTATTTTAGTTATCTTATGGCTTCCTTTCCTCTCTTATAAGCAAAAATAAGAAAAATCGAATCCCCCCACCCTTGCTAAGTAATATTTACATGCTTAAGTGGTTCAGAACCCTCTTAGTACAACTACTGCAGCATGAAGGGTTTAGAAACGGCGCATCACTACTACTATAGCGTAATCGGTTTTTTTATTTTATTAGCTAATTCATTAAATTAATAAACGGCTACCTCAACAACATCATTGCATAAAAAATACTTAGTGGTGCGATTTACAAGACTGAAAATGGACGTTTGTTATATATTTGGTAAATGGGATTTTGCACGAATTTTGTAAATTAAATTCGATTAGCTCATTGTCAGTAAAATTTTGGAAACGTAATTGTGAAGGTATTGATTGTGATGGTGAAGTAAATGTTCATTCATTTTTATAAATTTAGAAAAAGTGTACTTATTTCATGCAAGATGTTGATGCGCGATTTTGTCGTAATCCTCTGAATCCAAAACAATTTGGCACAGCTCTTGATTTCACTGCGTTAGTAGTTTGGTGTTTATGTACCTACTGTGTAAGTGCCTAATCTTTAATTCGATCAGTGCTTTTGTGCAGCCCAAGGCATGGATATAATATCGATGAATGTCATTTTTTGAGATTTTACCGAAATGTGTACATAACAAATTATTTGATTACTCAAAAAGTACCGAAGTGACGTACGATTATTAATATTGTTTGCCAAACTTATTCATTTCGAAACATTTATTTATAAATTTACATGACTATTATAATATAAGGCGCGTATTCTTGAAGCAGCCGCTAAAAGTGATCAGGATATTTTAAATATTATAACTTGCGTAAGGAACTCGAAAATCCTTTTGATTTTGGACAAGAGAGTATATTTTTACTGAGCAGCCGATAAAAATGAGAGTGATTTGTATAAAAAATTAAACGATTTGATAGAATACAAGAATGAATGTTAGTAAGTTTCACTGGCTATATATCTGATAATTTTAAGTTTTTTCTGCTGTGACTGTCAAGGCGTGTAATTCAAGTACTCGGTGTATAATTCGTAGAGTAAGAATTAAATAAACCAATTAAACAACACTTGAAATGGAGTATCATTTATTTTGTCCAAATTACTTTTTTGTATATGGTTTAGCCTTTTTTAGGTCATTAAGAAAAGAAGTTACTGTGCCAATGAGAAAAGGGTAAGTTTATACCGACATAAATCCACACCTCTATTTAATTTTTCAATAACAAAACTAAATTAAATATAAAATCAATAATAATGATGTTAATTGCTTGTGTGATTATAGGGCAGTTGTCTAGTTGGTAATAAATAATTTAAAGTTCGGTTAGGTCATACATAATTATTTATTATTGAAGAACTTTTCGATAATTTTTTTTCAAAAGCAAGTAGGTATGTATTTTGTAAAGTAGCGTTTTAAGAAGATTTTAAAAAATAACTTTATTCTTAACTGTTTTTATAAAATTTTAAGGTAGTTCTAAAATTTGGTATGAGTGGATTTAAATATCGAATAGAAGGGTGCGATGTTGTCCGTATTGCATACATAGCGGGAAATAGACACTTTAAATTTTTTCTATTGACAACCCAACTTACAACTTGCAATAGAATTAATATATAGATCAGTAAATTTACAGTTAGTCTACTTTGTATACACGTATGTGAATATGTTCGTATATGCTGATTTCCGTAATTTTAAGTTACGTCTCTTGAAGCTCTTCTTGTAACGTTTTGTACAGTTATATGTAAAATTTATAGTTTAATCGTTAATTAATTCTCATATTGACATATAAAAAAAAAAACACAAAAAGTACATCGGTCAAATTTCTGGATCACTGTGATTCAGAAAAAGGGATACAAAAACACTTATTTTGTCAGAAGCAACAGGTGATGTTGTAATTTATATAAATTAAATGGAAAACTTAGTTCATTAAAAAGTTTCATTGGATGTGAAGAGAAAAACGTAACAGTTTTAGTGAAACCATCAGTATTATGCGTTTTATTCACTTTAATTTTATTTTTAAATGTTTCACCTAGCCGAAATTCAGTTTCGCTTATGAAAATATGAAAAGGTAAATGTAAAAGTATCATGAGACTTTTCAAGCACTCGAATGTATATTTCCGCAATTAGTCAATCATTTGCCGATCTTTTACTGGTTTACCACTATTTATTACTGATAAAAAAAATATGCATTGGATAAATTCTAATTCTTCTTTATTCACATCTTTAAGGAAAATTTTCAGCCGTTCAATTTACGTTGAATGTAACTGTACAAATGTTGGCATTTAAAGATTATTCCATCCACAATACTTAATATTATTTTACTTCAATGTTAAACGTTTTTATACGTGTTTGTGTATTCCGTTATCTGTGAAAGATAGCAACGAAATCGTGGCCTTTCTGTATGTGTGGCTTTCAGTTTCTGAAGTAACTTTCAACAGAATGGTTATTAATTTAAAATTCTGCTTTCGGGTAACGCAAAAGTATAGTAAATTTTTACTCAAGGAATAAGTTAAATAAAAATTGACTACTGGGAATGTTGGATTTCAGTTTGTTTAGGGTTTCCATGATGCAGAGGAAAATTATGTAAGTTTATGAATGAACGAATAATCTAATGGTATAATCTGAGAATAATAAGAGGTGATAGCAACATTTTTTAATTTTCATTTTATGTCAATTCATTAAAACAACTAATGAGTGCCTGCACTATACATACATATATATATATTTATTACCATTACCGTATCGNTTATAATTACTGCAACTTTGACCCTAAAATAATTGTGTTTAACAAACATATGTCTGAAATTATTGGAGCATGTATGTGCAAAGAAGAATATAAGAAAAATTGTCAAGAAAATGTTTTTTAGAAATTAAACTCTCTGTGGGCCATTTTCATAGTGTTATCGACCCTGGTGTTTTCTGCTTTTGTCGAAACATCGGTGTGGAAAAACAATAATTATTCACAAGTTCGTGAAAGCATGGAAATCCTTTTGCATTTTCTTCATTTAACATAACTTTTCGCAAAACAAACGTAGCTTCTATTATTTATTCATTGGAAAATTGTTAGATACCCTGTATACAGTATTTATTATGCGATTTTTATTTTGTTGTCGTCGCATGTAATGCTAAGTTGCACTTATCGATATTTATTCTTTTATGTCATAAAAAGGTGACATTTTTCTGCAAATTTTTATATTTTGTACAAATGTCATTTAAGGATAACAGGCCGGGTTTTGTAGGGTAGTGTTAATGTCGCATTGAAAGATGGAAAAAGGTTGAATTCAAGTATCGCCAAAAACACTCCCTTATACATCAATATGTATAAATATTTATTGCGTTATTTTCTATTTGATAAAAAAATGTCCTTTTTACATGTTAGTGTTTTAAGTCCTTTCAGATCTTTCTTCTTCCACACACTATTATTTTTTGGAGCATCCTGTATAACAACAATAGGAGGAAGGCTAAAACGTAAAAATCGGTTCATTTGTCCTTGTGTTCGGCTGTATTCGTTGCCTGATATCATCGTCCTTTAATAACTGTCTTGCGCGATTGTATCAACTTCGTAACTGCTTTTGTTATACTTACCGTACGGATCAGTTTTAATATTAATACGTTAAATTACATTACGTTTATCTTAATTACAATAAAAAAAAATAATTACTGTAAAAATGTGAGTGATTGAACACTTAATCCTAAAGGATATTTCCAAAGTAAAAGGTAGGCGTCTTCTTTTTACCTTTTGTTACCAAAATTAGAATAAATTTGAAAAAGTCGTTTTGAAAGTAGAAAGAAATAATATCTATAAATATCGTATGAGAGATTTATATATTAATTACAACCTGTTCTATTCCATAATTCGTTTCTTTTTAGCCGGTAAATATTTTTTAACAAAAGTAGTTATGATTTAAGTGGTTCATTGAGAAAACAGAGTGTATTTATGCAGAGTGTTGGGAAGATGTTAGTATCATGATACTTTTTTTGCATATTTTTTTGTTAAACATACATACAATTTATACATCTTTTCGAAGTGAGTTAGTTTAATATTAAATATTATTCTGAAAATTCATTTCTGAATTTTTACCCACTACACACTACTTCAAATTAATGAGGGAAAAATTGTTGCTGTTGTCACACCCCCGCCGGGAATCGAACCCGGGACCTTTGGCTTTACGCACCAATGTTCTGGAATAACCAACAATTTTTCCCTCATTAATTTGAGGTAGCGTATAGTGGGTAAAAAATTAAAAAATGAATTTTCAAAGAATAATATTTCTTTTTTTTTGTTTTGGATGGATGGTGTCTAATGTAGTCTTATAAATTTTATGTTGTTTATAAACAATTTATTAATACACTTCCGAAAACAAAACAATCAAATTTGCAACAAATTATTTCTTCCACCTGAAGAAGCAGTTGTATGTTGAAATAGTTGTCGTAGACGATAACAATAAAATAGTTATTTTTGAAGTTTTATTTTATTTTCTGTATGGCGTATCTTCTGAAATGGAGTTTCAACATGCAAGGGCTACAATCATCAAATTGTTGAATTAGTATATCTTTGATTTTTTACGATGCTTAATTGTAACAATAATTGCTTAGCTATTTTCATCACTTATAAATCGAAATCTAAAAAATATAAGAATGTCCCCAACAGTGACTTTAAATTTTCTAAAAGAAAATTTTTATCAAAAACTTTATTTTTATTGTTTCTGTTAACTAATAACATTTAGGATGAACCCAGTACGTAAACCCAATTATTTTGGTGGCCAACATGGCTCATTTATGCCAGTTTTGTCATTTTCTTTGTTTTTAGTTACTATTGACGTATTTCATATTGAGCTAGTGATGTTTTTCTTATATGGGTATACCGGAAGTATACATCAGCTGCCTTATTTTAAATGGAACACCTTGTATATTATTATATTTTTAAATTCAGCATCGTTTTTAATGTCCACTTTGTTAAGCATAGTTTTTGCCTGCGCGGTATCTTTTTGGAGTTATTTAGTAATGTCTAGAAAATTCGACGTTTGTAATACATTACAAAAATTTTAATATTTCAGCAATTATACTCGCTAAAAAGATGCGGCTGTCGCTGCTAAAAAGAGCATGAAACGCACTTAGCTTTCCATCTAAAAATTTCTTTCAAAGCACATTATTTAAATCATTACACTAGTAATCTTCAAACTTTAAATGTTTCAAACATCAATAACTCATTTTTTTAAAATAGGAAGCCTTTTTCACTTTGACATCGTCAGATGCAAAATTAATGTTTGACCGTCGGTCAGGCACTATTTCCAACCTAGAATCGATGCTGAATTCAAAAATGTAATAATATACAGGGTGTTTCATTTAAAATAAGGCAGCTGATGCATACTTCTGGTACATCTGGAAGTCCGTCATCTCTGAAATTAATTTCTGCAGATGGAAGATTTGACCAGAGACATTAATTTCTGCAGATGGAAGATTTGACCAGAGACATTTTTTATTGGAAACGTTTTTCTTCTCGCAAAGCGCGCTTAATGGACTACCCTGTATATGTATTTCAGAATCTGAATGATTCGCTCAATACGAAGAAATATTTCAATAAAAATGAAAATAGAAAATTGGCAAAAACGATCAATTTGACCACTAAAATAATTGCGTTTAACAAACATATGTTTGAAATTATTGGAGCATCTAAGTGTAAAGAAGAATATGAGAAAAATTGTCAAGAAAATGTTTTTTAGAAAACTAAACTCTCTGTGGGCCATTTTCATACTATTATCGACCCTGGTGTTTTCTGATTTTGTCGAAACATATGTGTGAAAAAACAATAATTATTCATTAGTTCATGAAAGCGTGAAAATCCTTTTACATTTTCTTCATTTAACATAACTTTTCGCAAAGCAAACGTTCCTTCGATTATTATTTATTCATTGGAAAATTGTTAGATACCCTGTATACAGTATAAAAATTAAGCGTTTGAAAACCCTATTTATTTCATTATTTAATTCGATAGCAGTGTTAAAATTTTTTATAGGTCTTTTTTATGTGTAACAAGTTTATGAATACATGATATGCTTTGTTCTTTAACCTTCTAAAGACATTGCTATCGCATCGAATTACTCACATCTGTTTCAGTATAGTAAAAGCGTTGCTGCGAATTGTGTTAACTTTAAAATAATTTGTATTATATATTTTACAATTTGTTTAAACATTTAAAAATAATTCTAAACTCTGATGGTAAGTTATTACATTATTTTAATGATCTAGAAAAATAATTAATTAATTATGATACAATAAATGAAACCACTTGATGTAAGATTCACTTGTTATTTAGCCTATTTTACTTTCCAAATTTTGTTTAAAAATTTTTGATGGCGAGTCATTTTTCAAATTCCATAGGAGTATATTTTAGGTAGCTACATCATTGAACGAATTTTACCGTTAATAATTTCTGCAAATGTTTGTATTTAGCTGTTATGGGGTTTAATTAATTCTGGTACAATTATTTTTCAGTTGTATTTTATGAAATCTTAATATATTTTTGTAGAATGCCAGAGAATTATATTGCACCTCAAATAACGGACTTGTAATAAGTAAACATATAAAATTGACTTAATTTTTTTTAAAGATTCTTATATCTTCATCAGTACAAAGGAGGTAATATTGGACAACTTTACAAAAGCTAAGTCATGGAACAAAACATTGCTTTCCCATTAATTCCATAGCGCATCCAGGTATTCAAATGCATGTCTCGAATTTCACAGACGTTCTACGTTAGGATCCATCAGGAATGAAGGTAAGTTGAAGCATAAATAGTTTTATAAGTAGGTAGAACTAGACATATAAATTTTAATTGAAGAAAATTAAGCAAACTCAAGGGGTGAAAACTTTTTTCTTTGCACAACGATGCCAACGCTTTTCTCTACAATGATAAGGTTTCATCTGGATAAATTATAAAAGTAATAGCCAAAGTTGTAAAGATTGTTAAAGATACCTATGTTATTATTATTCACTTTTAGCATATAGTAAAATAGTATGAGTAAAAAAGCAATATCGTTATAAATAAGACTCACAATTAGAAATGTAGATAGATAGATAGCTTTATTAAAAACATTAGATATGTTTTATATACATAAGGAGCATTTACATTTACATTTACCTACTTTCTCGTTTTTCTGCTATTTTCCACCTTATTCATAATATTTCTCTCATCCTTTTTAGACCATCCTTTCCTTCCATTTCAATTTCCCACTTTTTTGCACCGTGTTCGAATATATCTGGTTCCAATTTACATTATCTGCATATTTTCAACTCTGTCTTCTTTTTCTCAGTAACTTGGCGTCCACCTTTCACGTTCTAGTCCAAATCTTGTTGTTAAAACTTGTAAAAACTTAGTGTTTGGTTTTTTAATTTTTTATGTTGAAAATTAGATTTTGTCATAATTTGTTTTTTCATTTGATTTAAATAATACTTAACTTATTTCTTATTGTCAGGCTGACTTTANACGTGACATTGTTTTAGTGAAACCATTAGTATTACGCATTTTATCCACTTTAATTTTATTTTTAAATGTTTCACCTAGCCGAAATTCAGTTTCGCTTATGAAAATATAAAAAGATAAATGTATAAGTATCATGAGACTTATCGACCAGTCAAATGTACATTTCCGTATTTTGTCAATCATTTATTGATCTTTTACTGGTTTACCATTATTTAGTACTGATAATAAATATGTATTGGATAAATTAAACTAATTCTTCTTTATTCAGATCTTTAAGGAAATTTTCCAGCCGTTCAATTTACGTTGAATGTAGCTGTACAAATGTTGGCATTTAAAAATTATTCCATCCACAATACTTAATATTATTTTACTTCAGTATTATAACGTTCTTATACGTGTTTGTGTATTTCGTTATCTGTGAAAGATAGCAACGAAATCATTCTCTTCCTCGTACTAAATATCTTGGCATTAAATCACCCTGCCAATCATCCCATAACAAATATCGCAATCCTATCGCGTATTTGAAGTCTGCTATTTTTCTTCTTCATTTAACATAGCTTTTCGAAAAGCAAACGTAGCTTCTATTATTTATTCATTGGAAAATTGTTAGACACCCTGTATACAGTATAAAAGTTAAACGTTCGAAAACCCCGTTTATTTCATTATTTAATTTGATAGCAGTGTCGAACGTGATGCATCTTCGACATCAAAATTGCCGGATCGAAATTTAGCGAACCAGTTCTGGCACTGGCGTACTGTTGTCAATACTCCTTCTCCATACATCAGTCAATTTTTCTTTCTGGCTTGAACAGCATTTTTACCCTTTCTGTAGTAAAACAGTAAGATATGTCGAAAATGCTGCTTATCGCTCTCCATATTTAAAAGGGCACCAACCAAAAACTANCATTTAAAAATTATTCCATCCACAATACTTAATATTATTTTACTTCAGTATTATAACGTTCTTATACGTGTTTATGTATTTCTTTATCTGTGAAAGATAGCAACGAAATCATTCTCTTCCTCGTACTAAATATCTTGACATTAAATCACCCTGCCAATCATCACATAACAAATATCTTAATCCTATCGCGTATTTGAACACTGCTATTTTTCCCTCTTATAATTTCCTCACATCTCTTTTTAACCATTTTTCCTACATTTCAACCCTTTCATCCCCATTAATTTAACTGTTTTTGATTAATTTTTAAATCTTTTAGTGCATCTTCCCTTTCTTTTTCCTATATTCAATATTCTCTTTCTCCAATATTTTTCTCTGATATCTCCCTCTTGTAATCTCCCTATTTTCCTCCTCATATTTTCTAGCCCTTTTAAATGCTTCTTCGTCTATTTTACTATATTCTATTTCCTTCCTCAATATGTGGTCTGGGGTGCTCTAATCTATTTGTAATAACCACTTTACATTTTTTTTGTAAATGCTTTCTACTTGTCCATATTTGTTTAAACCTCAAATTTCTGCCCCGTAAAATACTGCACTTCTAATTACTGCATTATCATTCTATTCTAATTTCCTTTAATTAATTTTTCTCCTCTTCCCCAAATGCTCCCCAAGATACATCCTTATATAGGCACACCTTATCTCTGTTGTTTTCACCCATAAAATTTTCCTAAATATTTATATTTTCTTAACTTTTCTATCATCACCTATCCATACACCTCTGTTTTTTCCATTTTCCATCTGCTGTAAGTTAAATGCGGCTAAAGGTGAATAATATCAGCATGTCTATCTTTTACAATTTCTACAATTTCGAAAAATTATCGTTATGGTTTTATAATCTACCCTGAGGCTAAACATTGGCATAATTACGTAAGGCAATAAAAACTAAAAGTAAGTTTCATCTGTTTAGTTTACTTAATTTTCTTCAGTAATATATTTTATAATTACGAATTAGATATATTTAGAAATTTCAATTTGGAGTTTTTAAAATGCTATTCTATTTAAACAGGCCTTCTCTCAATATCTAAAGGAAAATTGATTTTTTTGTGGACATTTTTTATGCTTGTACAACTTTTGAAAATTGAAACCAAACTTTGATGTTCCTTTTAAGATTTAAATCGGAGATAAAGTAGGAGAGATAAGTTATTTCAATGTTGTTCCAAAATTTCAAACCTTCCCTAAGCTGTTGCATAATAGTTGTTTGCTGATTTCAGATATTTGTACCAATACATGATGTCATCTTATCAAGGAAGAGGGAATAGTCTAACTACGTGGAATGGTAAGTTGATTAGTAAATAAATGTGCACAAAAACCTTTATATTTATTGGAATCGTTTTTTGGTTAATTTAGATTGGATGATGACTATACTGCGATGAATTTTGGATAAGTTCATCGGAACCTGAGTTTGCTGTCTTTCATTTAAGGGAAGAAAAAGGGTCATCCTATGAGCCTGTGCCGAACAATTTCATTTTCTACTGGGAATTTTAATTTTTATAACAATCTGTAAAAAAGTGGGTTTATTGAGCTAAATTATTAATTTCCAATATGGGTCAATTTTTTATTATTTTAGTTCATGCTTTCCTTTTGGGTGTCTAAGTGTCGAAGTTTTTANAGCATAGAACTATTTATTCCAATATTTATCACATAATAGTACTTTTACATATTAATGTTAATATCGATGTAATAATAAACCATTGGGAAAGGGGACTTGCTTTGGGGAGAGAGTGGAGGTATGCAAGGGATCGAATGTATGTGAATGCAAACACAGGGTATAAGTGAATGCGAGGGAGAAAGAGACGGTGTGAATGAATGCGAGGTAGTAAGGGTGTGACTCTGAATGCAATATGAGCGTAGTTGCAAGAGAGGGATGTAAATGAGAGTGTGTGAGAGAGACAGGGTGTAAATGAGTGGAAAAAATGGGTAAAAATGAATGAGAGTGATGCAAGAGAGGGTTGTAACTGAATGTGTGTGTGAGAGCGAGAGAGATAAGGTGTAAATGAATGCGAGACAGTAAGCGTGTAACTCTGCGCGTGAATGTAAGAAAGGGGTGAAAATGGGTGTGAGAGAAAGATAAATGAATGTAGTGGAGAATGTGTGCGTGAACGAGTATGCGGTGTGAACGTAGAGTGATGAATGGGGCGTATTTGTGCGTGTGCTTTTGAATGGGTGTGTGCGTGTATGTATGAGTGAATTAGGGTTATGAGTGAATTAGGGTGTATGTATGTGGGTGCACGTATGAATGAGTGTGTGCGGGCGTGGAGGGCGGGCGCGAGGGTAAAGGGAGGGCGCGGCGGATAAGGGGGCAGAGGGGAGGCCGCGGGGGAAGAGGGGAGGGCGCGGGGACAGAGGGGTGGGTGCGGGGGCCAAGGGGAATGGGGGGATATAAACAAATAAAAGAATAGAATGCACAAACTGTTTTTTATTTTTAACAAGGAATGGGGGGATATAAACAAATAAAAGAATAGAATGCACAAACTGTTTTTTATTTTTAACAAGGATGAANAAAAATGAGTAACATTTTTATTTTTCCTCTGATGTTTAACATCTACAGTTATTTTGTTCGATTGCTAATATTTAAAAGCTCTGACATGTAATTTTGTTATACAATCAGATGAAAAGTAAATTAAGTTTCACAAATTTCAGTGTCTTTTTTCACTAATTCAAAAAATGAGTAACATTTTTATTTTTCCTCTGATGTTTAACATCTACAGTTATTTTGTTCGATTGCTAATATTTAAAAGCTCTGACATGTAATTTTGTTATACAATCAGATGAAAAGTAAATTAAGTTTCACAAATTTCAGTGTCTTTTTTCACTAATTCAAAAAATGAGTAACATTTTTATTTTTCCTCTGATGTTTAACATCTACAGTTATTTTGTTCGATTGCTAATATTTAAAAGCTCTGACATGTAATTTTGTTATACAATCAGATGAAAAGTAAATTAAGTTTCACAAATTTCAGTGTCTTTTTTCACTAATTCAAAAAATGAGTAACATTTTTATTTTTCCTCTGATGTTTAACATCTACAGTTATTTTGTTCGATTGCTAATATTTAAAAGCTCTGACATGTAATTTTGTTATACAATCAGATGAAAAGTAAATTAAGTTTCACAAATTTCAGTGTCTTTTTTCACTAATTCAAAAAATGAGTAACATTTTTATTTTTCCTCTGATGTTTAACATCTACAGTTATTTTGTTCGATTGCTAATATTTAAAAGCTCTGACATGTAATTTTGTTATACAATCAGATGAAAAGTAAATTAAGTTTCACAAATTTCAGTGTCTTTTTTCACTAATTCAAAAAATGAGTAACATTTTTATTTTTCCTCTGATGTTTAACATCTACAGTTATTTTGTTCGATTGCTAATATTTAAACGTTTTGGCAAGTAATTTTGTTATACAATCAGATGAAAAGTAAATTATGTTTTACAAATTTCAGTGCGTCATTTTTCACTAGTTTAAAAAATTATGTATTTAACATACATCGTTATTTTCTATCTTTGCTAATATGTGACACCATCGTCAAGTAATATCATTATACAAGTAAAATATGGTGAAGGTGCTGGCCGTCCTACTCACAAGGGATTTCGCAACGTGCTGACATTATGGCAATTCTACTTATAGGTGATTCACAAAATTGCTGAACAGGAGGACTTCTTTGTTTCAGCTCGTTGAAATTCAACGATTTATTGTAAGAAAGAAAAAATATATGACGAAAAAAAAACAACCCATAAATAAATATATTTAAAAAAATTCCTTAAACAGAAAAAGACACAAAATTATCAGATGTGGCAAAATGTGTGTAACTCCAACTTATACATTCGTTTTACATCACATTTATTTTCAAATAAACCAGAAACAAGTACTTTTAATACTAATAACTTAATATTAGATGTTAATATGAAAATTCATTTTTAATTTTTATCCACTACACTGGTTAGAGCATTGGTGCGTAAAGTCAAAGGTCCCGGGTTGATTCTCGGCGAGGATGTGATAACAGTAACAATTCTTTGTCATTAACTTGAGGTAATATATAGTGGATAAAAATGAAAAATGAATTTTCAAATTTATATTTAACAAATGCTTTTAGTGTTTTCAAATCTAT